GAAATGGTTGGGTAATCATATCATGTCCACCCTCTGTGCCTATTTGAGCCTGTCATCAATCAGGGCATTATGGCCAATTGAGCAAACATTGTGAATTTGTCATGGTTTAAAATCGTTTAACTGCGATGACATCTAATTGCCATGCACTTACTCCTCACGTACCTATCTCTTTCGGGCTTTCCTGTCAATTTCCATTTGAGCGGATATTTGTCGAACAAACTCGATTGATTTTCCGAGCTCTCCGATAGCTTTACCTTTTCCTTCTCCGGTTCCCCTCCTGCACGGCTCATAAGCCACAAAATGCATTTCTAGCAATTTCCTTGTTTGGCCCATTTTTATGGCGCATGTTGCATACTTTACGGCGTCTCTCTGTGTGCACCCGCCTTTACCTTCTACCCACTTTCTCGCCCATCGCCGCCCTCCTCATCTGCTCAGTTTTTCATCCAGACTCAGCCTTGACTGAAGTTTTTCAGGAAATCATTGCACCCAAAGACGGATACATCCCAGTTGCCCCGCCGCCCCTCCGCCGACATATATATGGTATGTATATGGTCCACATCCCCTGTCCGCACTCTCTTCGCCAGCTGTCTTCGGCACTTCAGCCGCCGCTTAAGTTGCACAAAATGTAATACATTTGATTGCACTCATGTTCAAGTTCTGTGGCCAAAGTGGCTGCTGGATCTGGAGCTTCAAGGGAGGAGAAAAATGCGGAGCTGCAAGGCGATCCAGACCAGGCCCCCTTTCCACCCACTTCTCTGTCGGATTCCCTCCATCAGGTTGCCGGATTCATGGTCTCCTTTTCCTGCTCAAAGTCGTAAGTGAATACGGATGCCGTTCATGGGTGTGGGAGCCTGAAAATGTTACAAATTGATAGATCCGCTGGCACATTGGCAACAACAGCCAGTAGCAGCCAATTGCAAACTATCTGTTTATTAGCCCAAACACGAGGAAAAGCCTTGGCAAGCGCATTATATGAGAGCGAGATGGATGAGCTGCAGGGATGGTTCATAATACAAGCTTTAGGAATTCCATAACTTTTGGATGTGGGTTCCTGAGAAATTTAAAGATTTGCCAGTTGCACAACTATGAATTTTATCAGCACAAAGGGTTAGTCAGAGAACAAAGCTTTGCTAGTTATAATGTGCCTGGTATTATAATTTAATCCCTTCTAAGTATCATTGCATTTAACGGGCCTTTGACGCACTTCCTCCCCAACTCCCGCGCCACCAACCCCTCTCATTAATACCCATTACTGGCGTCTTTCGCTGTGAGTGGCCCTATACATCATTCACAATTAAATCTGATTAGAGGGTTAGCGGGTCCATCAGGTTCAATCAAAACTGGCATGTCGAGAGCTCCGGAGAGGCGTGCAGGCGGACAAAGCCGGCGTGCCGGCCTAAATGGCCAAACTGGCTGCCTGTCGCCTGTTTCCCCCCACAACTACCCGTTTGCTCCATTCCAGAAGCACGGCTAATAGCCTTTAACCGACGGCGGGCAGTTCCACCATTAGGCTGCTGAACCGGGAGTTAGGCGGAAAACTTCTGTCGTCGGAAAGCGGCAGTCGGCAGTCGGCAGTCGGGACCACATCGACATCCGTTCAGGTTGAGGCATCGACATGCTAATAGCTTTGAACTTTTCGCAAATTGCAGGCAGTGCGCCATCCCAATGGCAACCGCCTTTTTGCAACTGCAATAGCAACTGCAACTGCATTTGCGTTGGACTGTTAATTACCGTTATTGAACTTGTTTGATTGGCACAAGTTGAAAAGTTGGGCGAACCGAGGCAAGCGCTGACCGTCCGTCCGTCCGTCGAGCATTTACGTTTAACCCGTGGAAATCGAATTTCCCGAGCGGATGTATGGATGTTTGCTGGGCGAGGGTGCAGCAGTTTTCCCCACCTCCCCCATGCGATGTATGTAAATAAAGGCAGCGTGCTCGCCAGCCACTTGAAAAGGCGTGCGCCAGTTTTGCGATAATATTTCCTGCAATTAACCGGCTTTTACCTTTCCTTTTCTGGCAACATGAAATCTTCACCACAGTATTCCAACAGTAATATCGTATTATACATAATTTATACATTAATTTTATAATTTTTATTTAACTAACAATTCTGCCTGAATGTTCTTTTGGAATATAGTTTAAAGAGTATAAGATTGCCATTTGTAGCGCATTATCACGGATCTGGTTTTTTGAAGAGAGTGTGCAAATGATCGCTGACTTTTTCCAAAATTATTCGTTACAAAATTATGACCCATGTATGTATATATTTTATTTTTAAGTTATATTTTTAGAGCCCATAAACCAAGTTTAGAAACCTTTAAGAAAACCTTTCTTCGTTAAGACCTTCGGTTTTTAAGGTGTAATCAAATATTTTTAGATCCATCGTTAAGTGAAGAGATAACACAGTATAAAACAGAATTGGATTTTAAAACCCTGTTTGAGGTTTCTATAGCCTGGATAACGTTTAGATTGTGAAGCAAACTAAGTTTGTGGTGCATTTCTTGATTAGCATGGGAATATCTTTAAAGCCCATTTAAAGTTCAGGTATATGTCCTCAAAACTAATTAAATGAATGGCATCAAAATAAACATTTTATTCCTATAACCATTCTTTGAATTTTCCAATTATTTAAATGCTTGAGAGTTCTTATAATATGTTATCTCATAATAAATTAGTTTTTAATAATATATGAGTTATGTTATATTATTTAGGTATATCAGTTAGGTATATCATTTGTAAAAAAAATACATATGTTCCTGTAATATCCTTAAATTTGATGAAGTTGATTTTTGTAAATAAGAAGAAAATATAAAAATGGCTATAGACTTAGGTACAAGTAGGTGTAGCGGCACTGTTTTTTCGAGTGTACAATCATACTTTCCGACACTCCTCGCCGTGGCCACCATACACGAATACCACTCTCCCAAGCAAAAACAAACTGCAGCCGGACAGGAAATGCATTCAGCGCCGGCTGTCAATTGGCAGGCAATGGCCAATACAAAGGCAGAACTGGGCAAAGCAAGATGGCGGACATTGTCCTTGTTGTCCTTGTCATCGCTGCGCTTTTCCCACTGTCATCGCCATGCGGACATGTGTGGCTGTGAGTGTGCCAGTGCGATTGCCTCGTTGCTTTCGTTGTTTTCGTTGATTTTTCCACTTGGCTTCCAGTGCCATATTGTTAACGCGCTCGGTGCGGAGCGTTCTGCCATCCCGCTCTCTCTTCGGTGCCTCGGATGCTAAAGTTGACTTTTTACTGATTTGAACTGCAAACTTTTGCCGTAGTTTAGTAGTTGTGGCTGTTGTTCTTTTTCGCAGCAACCGAGGGATTTATGGGGGCTCAAAGTGCTTCTCGGTTCTCGGTTCTCGGTCTCAGCTCTCGAATCTCGCTTGGGTGTGAAGTAAAAACTTTGTCCTGGCGTAAGTAGGAGAATCTATATACGTATACACACATAGACCCGTGTTACATGTGTAGGTGCTCGGGCACTTGGGCATAAACTTGTGCGAGTCAGTGTGTAATCAGTTTTAAGCCAACTGTAATGCCAGCAGATGATATCGATTCAATTTTCAGTTCTTTCGATTGGAGATCCAAAAATCTTGTTAAAGTGGTCAATTTATTAATACTGGCTGCATTTGGTTCGCTACAAGCTGGAAAAAATGTGAGCTTAACCCCGAGAAGTAAAGCTGGCAGAGGAAATATATCCAGTTGGGATGCAAAGTAAAGCAACTGTCAACTGGGGCTAAATTATGTCCAATTCGTTGGAGAAATGGCAAAGAAGACTGTGTGGCTTTGTCGATGGCAATTGCAATTGAATCCAGCTTGTAGCCAAGCGGCGACAGAATTCGTGTGGGTTCTCCGAATGCAAATTTCGGAAATTTATGGCCAACCCATTTGGTGGATTTATTGTTCTTGCATTAGTTTTACACCCACTTCGCTAAAAGATGCGATAAATAAGGGCGGGTCTCGACTTAAAGGCTTTTCTTAATTGCAACGACACAATCGCAAGCTCTCGATGATGTAATCAACCTTGCGTCAAGCTCGTGCGGAAAATTCCTCGTACGTAAGTTTTATAAATTTTGCTGGCACGAATTCAATTTCTTTTCCACTTTTTCCGCTTTTACTTTGCTTCAATTTATAAAATTGAATATCGGCAGCGAAACTCGATTTGTCCACACACGACCACGCCCACAGGGGCAGGGCGATTGGTGAAGGGCGAATAGGACCTACAGCTTTCTTGGGAGTGTTGCGTAAGTGGGAAAATTATCCGGAGGGCCAAGTATCTTAAGCTACTTACCCAGTAAATAACAGACAGTGGGCTGAGATCGACGTTTTAGGCAAAATTTTCAAATGGATTGAAGTCGTATTTTGATGACAGCCGATAGCCAGGGGATAAAGTCCTTATCTTATCTATCTTATGTGATTTATTTAAGTAAAAACAATTACTTTCTTAAATTTGCATAGTGTTGAAGTAGATAAATCTTTTTTTTTTCAGTTTGTAAATGTATGTAAACAGTTTTCTGTCACCATTTCCATCCTCTGTGCTCGACTGTTAAATCGCTTAGTGCGTTTCCTTTTGGCAGCCTTTATCGCCTGCCAATTGCTTCATATCCTACCTAACTCACACATGGAAATGCCTTGGCATTTCATTTAAATACACACACATGTGTGAGGTGTATAAAAATTGCCATTTCCCAGTGATTTTATAGCGCCCACTGCTCTTCTTAGAGGGTCCCCATCCCCCAAAGCCGCCCCATTTTCTGTTTTCGCCATCACTCTGAACGCCGTTGACAGCTTTACGTTTTGTGGGACGCACAGTGACTTACATAAGTACGCCACCCACCCACCACTCGCACACAACTGCTCCTTTGTGTGTCATTTAGCTTTTGTCTCACGCGTGCCAAGTTCCCCCTTTCCCTCGTTTTCCGACTTGTTTGTGCTCTTAATTTTCTTGCCAAGTTTGCAGTTTTCGCAACGTTTTTATATGATTTTTATACAAACGTGATATATTTTTCTGATGCGCCCGCTCGCTTTTTATTATCGCAGCACCGCCCCTTGTGTGTGTGCTTTTGGTCTTTGTCCTTCGTTCTTCGTCCTTTGTTCTGGCTTATTCAATTTCATTTATTGATTCCCTGCTTATCGCATATCTGCGGCCCAAGGGGAAAATGAGCACCCTACTTCTGATTGATGAACGCAAACTGACGGGGATGGACGGCCATGTGGTGGTCCAGTTTGTTCCAGAACTCCGTCAGGATGCCGCAGTCCAAGTGCCGCTCGTGCGGCGAGAGGGCGAGCAGGTGCACCTGCAAGTTGGCCAGCTCCTTGCTCACCGTAGTGCCCCTGAAGTGCAGGTGGAAGGCGCACACCTGGTGGAAGATGAGGGCGGGGTTCCCGCCCTGCGGCCAGCCCTTGAACTGCCAGTGGGGTCCCATGGCGAACACGGCGGCCACCCGCCTCCACTCCTCTGGGGTCAGCCGGGTCACGTTGTCGATGACCCTGTAGCTCACCAGTTCGCCCTGAAATTTGCATTTGATAAAGGTAATTAAGCCACCAACAAGCATAAGTAGATTAGACATCCTAACCAACCGTAGATTGCACTACAATAATGTTCCGTTATCGACCCCTCTAGTGGGTAAATTATTTAAAGGAGCGAGTGGAAATGCAGGAAACTTAAGTTTCTTACTTCAAAAACATTTACTATACTTTAAACTACACTTTAAATATTTAATATTATTAGAGAACTGTGCCCTTTTCTGAAACTAACGACTTTGACGTAAGCATTTACGACCATAAGATTCCCCCTAATCCCGTTCAACCAGGAATTCCAACCACCACATTCTTAAACTGAAGATACTTGACATTGCCAGCAAATACATTACCCACCTGAAAGCAGTGCTCGATGGTGACCTCGCCGACGAGCTGGCTGGGGACCAGGGACTGACGGGCTTCTCCCACGGACACGTAGCGCAACTCCTGAAGAAGCTGCTTGGCATTGTGAACGGTGACCAGGCTGGTCAGAGCTTCCGGAACCACGATGATGGGCATACGGGATAACCGCTTATCCTGGCGGGGCTTCTTGCTGGCGTTCTTGGCTAGCTCCAGTTTTCCTTTTTCCGTATTTGTTTTCTCGGACTCGGTCTTCCAACATTCTGGATTCAAGCCCGTTGATGCGACCTTTTCCCAATGGCTTCCCCGCGGGTTGATGCCAAACTCCTCCTTGCCCCTGAGGAATCTCTCCTGGCCATAGCGGTTGTACTTGGACTTGGGCGGCGGTTTGACCGGCACCTCTTGCGTCCCCCCAAGCGGCGGAGGAGCTGCGGGTTCTTCTTTCGGAGAGTCCTCAGGCTTGGACAGCATGCGACGACTCTTGAAGTCGTAGACGAGGGACAAGGTCTTCAGGACTCCAGGCAGCTCCTTCCCGCCCAGCAGCTGCTCCTCGCGAGTGGGATACTGCCTTTCCCGCTTTATAGTCTGCTTGCAAAGCTCCACCTGCTTTTCGTGCTTCTGGCGATCCTGCTCCCGCTGCAGCGTTCTTATCCGCTTACCCTCGACATCGAGGTCCATTTTCATGGCCATGCGCTTGGCCTTGATAGCCGATATGGCCTCCACGGTCATGGTCTGGGCAAGGGTCTTCGAACTCAAGTCCATTTCAGATCGGTTGTTCTTTTAGACACTAAAACTGGTAGATGGAAAAAAACTAATTTTGTAAACTTCAATTCAATCTTACGCCTGATTGTTCAGTGACTTTCTGTATTGAAGGGAAAAACTCAAGGCATACTAGTTCACTTACCACGTATATTCAGTGTTGGTAAACACATAACAGCGTTACCAGACTTTGATAACAGTCGACGAGTAGGGTCGTAACCCAGCACTTCAACGTACCGCGTATAGCAAATTTTGTTAGAAATTAACATAAAATAAACCTACATATGACACTAGTTCTATTAAGTTAACTTCATACGTTGTATAGGAATTGTCAACTTACAATTTTGTAGCTATAAAAGATTTGAAGTGCGACCCGACTTAAATAAAATTAAAAAGAACAAAATATTACGTAGAACAGCGTTTGCTTTTTGTTTATTATCATTTTGTATGCAATTAGAAACTAATTTAATGCCAATTGACAAAAAATTGTTTTCCGTTTATAAAGCTAAATTTCTAAAGAAAACTTGTTTACTTGCAAAAAGGGGTGTGTTCTATTACAGATTCGAAAGAAAGCGTCTCTTATTACTGGATTATGTAAAGGGTACTACGTTTACCTTGTATAAAAATCTTTTTTTTCTTGCATGGTATGGGTACTTCGAGTTAGGGAAGATCGAGCTACGAAAGTTCAACTGTATTTTACTGTTTGTTTAAAAGTGATATGACGCGAATCGACTTTAAGAAGTTTCTTTAATAAGACAAAGATATTGAGTATTGGTGATTTTTTTACAGTCACACGTAATAAAAACTCTGCCCAAAATAGACTCATTGGTCTCAATGTTTCAATTATTCCATTCATGACTGCGAATTTTTAATCACCTAGCCTAGGAAGGTCCTGCTTTCGCTTTATAATTCTCATTCAGAGGCTGGCTTTCTTTCTGGCCGCCTCCTTTGTTGGCACATAAAAAACTCATAAATATTCAAACTTTCTCGCAGCCATCGTTTATTTTTGTGAAAGCCATTATTTCTTTTTATTACATTGCCTTGGTCAGTTGTTTGCCCCGCTGCCCCTCTCCGATGATTTTTATTTTTCCGCCTCGAGTTGTTTTTATTTGTAAGCTATTTTTATTTGACAAAGTTTCACCCTCACCCACTTTCCCGGGAGAGCGTCGCAGAAGGAATTGTCCCGGCTTTGTGTTATTGACTTTAATAACATTTTAGCTGCAAGGCATGAAAATATTTTTATAAATTGTGTTTTGTTTTCCCCGGCTTTCTTGCATTTTCCCAGCATCGCTCCGCTTTGTTTTGCCTCCGAAGCCTGAAATTGATTTCTGCAAGGGGGCCACTCGAGGTCCCATCGTAATATATGCATCCATCGTGTCGGCCAGCCAGCCTCAAAAGCTATTAGCTGGCTAAGCCCACCCGCCCGATTCCCCAGTTATCGCGGCCATAGCCCGGGGATGCCCGTAATTGCTAAAGCGAAATTTCATTACCAAAAACGACAAGGGCGGGCGGGGTGAAAGTTGGCTGGAAGTTGGCTGCAGACGGGTTTCGTTTCGCGTGTGATAAATACCGTGAAAGGTCGCCGCCATCGCAGCTCGTGAAATGAAATTTTCATCCAGACTCTTTTGGCAGCCATTTTGCCGGCGCTGCACTAGAAAATGGCTGAATGGCGGATTGGCGACGGTGGCAGCGGCATGGTTGTCGCCATTTTTGTTTATGGCCGCATTTGTCACGGCAAATTGTATTGCCAACCGGCGGGCCTTTGCCATTCCCCGGCTTTTTTTGTCGCGTCAAGAATGCGGCATAAAAAAAGCGATGAACCGAAAGGCTCACCTTGCGTCTACGGCACTTTTGCATGTTAATTAAACCGGCGGGATACCGGGATCATCTGATTGCTCATTCGGCTCGGCACTAATTAGGTTTATGGCATTATGACCGGAAAAAATATTGCCTTATGGGAGGTTTTTGTTTTCGGATTCATGTTTCACCCAGAAGGGGCCAAGGTTTTCGAAGTCCCCATAAGAGACCCCACAATAGCTGATCCAACGGCCATGAAGACCGGGAATCCCGAAAACAATGCAGTGGAATTGAAATTGAAAACAATGGCTCACTGACATAGATATGGAATGCCTTTTTGCCGCATTTAGATAGCCATTCAGGGTTCTTTTTGCGAAGAGTCAGCGAAGCGGACACGAGAAGCGGGTGCATAACTTCAAATTTAATCAGAGAAGAATGCGACCACGCATAGCCATTCTGGCCGCGGGGAAATGGAATCATCGCTGGCCAGCGTTTTGCACTCAGCTGCAAGGAATCGCATCAAGGGGGAACCAGCAGGGGAAATGGAATCTGCTGGCCTTCGGGGATCCCCCACCGAAAACGGCAACTGATTTCGCCTCAGTGACAAGACAAGGCCATCAAATATCGCCCCAAACAGACCTTGGCCAATTATTGTTTGTGGCCCTCTCGTTTTATTACGTAGCCGCAGCGTTGCCCGTTTACAACACACGACCCTCGACGGACGGCTCGGTCGAATCGCTTAATGTGCCGGCTGGAGGGGGGGAAAAACAATTTTGTCAGCTTATAAACAGTAAAAATAAAATGCCGGGCTAAACAAATACGAGGAGCAACGACATCACTATAAAGCGCCATTGAGACCCGAACACATGTAAGCTCACACACAAGACACCCTGGTTTGCATGCATGTAGTACGTACACAGAGAAAAGCAGTGGAAAGTTATAAAGTGAAATGTGCAGGTAAGGGCTTTCCTTTGAGTCATCAACACTGCAATCCCTTCGTTAGGGTAATTGGTTTTGGTACACCATGAAATTAATTAGGGAATTAACTCCAGAGTGCACCGGAAGAAGATATTCCCTCATGCAGCGGATGGGGTCGTGGATGTTAAATACAAGCTTACAGAAACTCTAATCAATTTTTGCCAGTGCACATGTGCTGGCTTGGCTCCCTTCAAGGCTGACACTTTATTACTTTTCTTGGCGAATTATTTTCATTATGGTTTCGCTTTCGGAGCAGATTCATTGCGCAGGGCAGGGCAATTTAATGGAAACGAGATTGGCTTCAGCTGAAGGTGCAATGAAGCCGCAGACGGAGAATGGAAATACGCTTGGCAAGCGGGCAAATAGTGCCAGGTCTGATCGATTTCAATGACCCACTTTCGTCGCTGCCGCCGCGAGGACCACAAGTTCCGATCAAATTGTGACCCAAGGCGAGTCTCGACCACATCGAGACTACTTTCAAGGGAGTGACAGGCTGCACAGGATATGAACTGGAGATCTGTTTGTGTACTTGATTGTCCCGGCTGTGCTCACACACATTTCACCCAGCACAGAGTCCGCTAACCTTTTCAAAGTTCTTTAAAAGTCGACGACTGCCGCCGCAGCTGCAATCTGTATCTAGTATCTTTCCTTTTCCAGTCGCAACGTGTCCACTCGGATGTCTCTCCATCATGTTTGCACATTTTGATGTCTGTTTGATGTGCAACAGTTGCACTTCAAGTGGCCAGTTGCTGCCTGCCAACTCGCTTTGCGAAATATCAAGCATTCGCCATGTGGTCCGACTCCTGGCACTTCCGCCCGCAGGGGCCACTTGGCCAGAGAGAAACTTTTTATTCAATTTGGTTTTCCTCAACTGCAGGCAGCTGCTGTAACTTCCCCGCAAAATTGAATCCGAGAACGGATGCCAGCACACGAAATTAAGCGGAAACTCTGGAATTTATTTGCAACGGGTTATGACAGAATATTTATATCGATTTTCTAAAGCGTTGCCATGTCGCAGGCTTTAATCAAACAGCCACATATCTGCACATTCAACTCTGGGTCTTTTCCATCAAGCCAAAGTTGAGATGCGTCTTTCCTTCCCAGAGAATTCGTGCAGGCAATCAACGAGTCAGCCTTGACGAGCAGCTGCAACTTCAGGCACTCGGAAAAATAGTTCATCGGTTTGAACATAGTTTGTAATTTTCTGTTATAGCATTTGTTTTCTAATAAGGCTTTTTGTAATATAAACTGATTTCCTCTAAAATAATACCTTCAATATATATGAATAATTTCCGGAAGGTACCTATCTAATTTGATAATTGAAAACAAGTTCCTCATATACGGTTTTCCTCTGAGTGTGCAGGTGAGTAAAGACTGGCATGACATTTGCAAGCCTGCAGGAAGTGCTCTTCAGACGGAAATTGCGACACACATATAGCCTGCTTCCTTTGACTCATTTCTCTCTTTAACAATATGCGCACGTATGCTAATGCCTGTGTATCTCCCGCTTCCCCTAAATTACCGTAATTTATTACAGAAAGTGGGTGGCCTTTTTTCTTCTTCAAATGCATTTCAATTGCCAAGTGTGTCAAAAGTTTCAACGCTTTTCGGGCTTTTACCGGCTCACCTGCCAACTGTTGCCCTCACCTGTTTCTCGGCTCAGACTGTCTGTCTGCGCTCCTGGCCAAAAGCTCATCACATTCGCCACTTAGTCAGCTCGTCAGCTTTTGTTGCAGCATTTGCCGCTCCGTACACTGGGAAAATAAAGTAATCATCTTGAAAAACTCAGTAATTAATATCAGCGGTTTCCTTTTTTGGTTGTAGTGTTCCTAAATCATTTTAAAGGTATTGAAAAACTTTATTTTTTAAATTAGCCTAAGTCATGTTATAATCTTAAGAAGTGCTGATAAATTATATATAATTACTCTCTAAAATTAAGAAACAAATACAATATTTTTAAAGTGCACATTCGTGCGCAGCTCGGTGCAAAATATTTTAGAGCGCTGTATGGTATGTGCAGCAACTGTGAACTGTGAACTGTAAAATGCTACTAATTGTTTTGCCGCCAATTACGTGCACAAGTGTGTGTGGCAACGAGCACGTGTGTGCGTTTGCCTGTCGTTTGATGTATGCGCTCTGTTTATTAAAATTTATTTTGTCGAGTACCTACTTTTCGCTGCTCGGCTCCGAGCTCACCTAGCTGGTAATTTGTGCATTTTCGCATAGCATTTAGCACACTTTTCCGCACTTTGCGGCTTCGACTGACAGCGGAATGCACGAGGAATGCTGCCGGAGGAAAG